ATATGTCTCTGTTTATTTACCATTTGTAGCACAGTATTAGATGTTATTTGTCTATTATTTTTGCGTTCATCGGATTGCATGTGAGTTAAAATCAGGTGATCAACGATTAGCGATGCAAGTGGTGCGTTATTTATGCAGGCCACTGTATATGCTGATCTCGAACTCGAACAACGGTTCGATTCGAGTTCGGTTCAAACCCCGAACCCCTCTTGAACTCAAGCCAAAGTCCGGTTCGAGTTTGGTTCAAATTTCGAACAGATATGAATTTGTATCGAGATTAAAAAAATGTAATCTAATTAATATTGATCACTGAATCAGAAAAATCCAATAAAAAATTGGATCAAATCGAATGGTCAATTGATCAGTAAATTTAATGTGATAAAATTATAATACAAACAATCAAACTACGTATAAATGGTCAATTATTTTGTTAATATAGAAATAATTTTTATTGCTATGTCAATGATTATAATTAATTGCTTCAAAATCGATATAAAAATTTCATAATGATGATGATATTTGATGAAAAAAATTTGATAGATTATAAATAGAAATTATTTTTATTATAAACTAAATATATTATTTTTTTGCTAAAAAAATATCAGCGGATGTCTGTACAAGTAAATAGTGATCAACTAAATATTAATGAACAATTAAATATTAATAATATTTAAAATAATAAGATTTTTTTAATAAAAAGGGAGAAAAAAATAAAAAATGTCCATTTACAAGAAATAAAAGAAATATACATAAAAATATTAAAGTAATCCCTCAAACCCATACGTGATAATAATAGTGAAGTAACAATAATAATCCTCGATTTCCAAATATTCATCGTGATCACAAAAATCAACTCTTTGGGTGAAGCTCAATCACACAAAACACCAACAAATAAATTACCACAAAAAAGTAGTGTAGCGAGTCATTAAAAAGTGTTCGTGGATGATTTGAATAATGTTGGTGTTTATGATTACTTAATTGATGCCGTGTTGTTATAGATCTGTTCGACTTTTGGTGTAAGTCTCTGAGCATTATTTTCCGTTGTACTAGAATTGGATTATTATTATTATTATTATTATTGTTAACCGGAGGTCTTCTTATCGGAGTATTTGTTAGTAATGTCGTTGTATCAGGTGACGTTATTGTTGTTGGAGATTGAATTATGTTCTGATTATAAGGATCATCTTCATCTCGAGGTGGTATTTTCACTCGCGGAGTAGGTTTTGGTAACGGTGCAAATCTCACATCTTTTCGTATTTTCTTTTTCGGCTTTGATTCTATTTTTCGAATTACTGGTAATTCGTCATTACAGCATACCATCAACTAATCAATAGGTGACGAGTGATTTATATATAAAATGGTGGAGAAGGGAAAATTTTTTAGTATTTGATATCTATTTATTTATTCATTTATTCATTCTAAGTGTGTCTGCCGATTATTGATTTATTAGCCCAAATTCCGTTTTTTGTCTTTAGAAGCAAGCGGTTGCAGTAGAGTTTCTCAAGTCCAGCATGCCTGCCTGTCTGTGTATTGAAATCTACCAGATCTGTGTGATGTATTTATAATTTTGATATTGATTGTACACGTGTAAAATGTATGTAGATATGCGGTGATGACGACGACAGAATTTTGCAGTGTTAACAACAAATCTATTATTCTCGATCTTTCTTTTTTTATTGATTGAAACCATGACTTTCTCAACGATTGTTAGTGAATCCAATAAAGAAAATGTCAACTTACATTCTGTTCTTGAGCTCGTTTAATGGCCACTTTCATTCTATTGTAATGCCAATCGAATAGTAGCGCCGCATCGTTTCCTTCTCTGTCTCCGGCGTAGAGTGATACTATTTAATTCGAAAAAATCCACGTAAATAAACCAATCAACTAAATCAAAGCAATAATGGATAAAAAACCGGAGACCCTCACCCATTCCAATCAATTGAATATACCCGCCCCTCAACAAGAAGATAGGACCGCCACTCGACCCGACCCATAAACTCGACGAGATACGAAAATTCGAGTCATTTGACTCGTCGTCTTTGGCTGGTAGTCCGACGATATATCCGGATGCGACGGTTTTTGCGTTCGGATGGAGAATTGGGACGATGTCTTCTGGCTATTATTTTATTCAGTGTAAAAGTAAGATCGGTGTGCTGGGAGATAAAAGATATTAAATAAATGAATAATTGAAAAGTAATTAATTACAATTTTCGGTCGATCATCTTCATCGAGACCGGCATATCTTTGATCATTACGTTCTTCCAGTAGATTTCTATCCGGTGTTCCATTGAAAGAGATTGCAACAACTGTATCCTATATTTCGCATAAAAATTAATGTCAATGCAAATAAACAAAAGCAAAGTTTAATTCGGAAAAATAATGAATAACTAACCCCATAATGAAGTGATTTCAACATATCTTGCAATGATTGGTCAGGTAACTCGTGATAACTTGGTGCACGGAAACTTTTATCTATGACTAGAAATAGACCAAAATCTGCGGAATCACTAGCCAAAAGACATTTTACTGGCGTGGCACTTTGTGGACATGTTTCTATATTTTTTGTTTTATTATGATTTATTTAATCAACAAACGAAGTGTCAAGATTAATTAGCTTCAGATAAGAATCTCGGATTGAAAACTTTAAACGCAATGATTTATAATTACCTCCCCACGAAGCTGTTGACACATAACCAGCCACTGACATATTTTCAAGGTTTGCGGCTTTTAATGTTCCATGACGAAGTCTTGACACAAAAAGACGTGGACCCACAAAAAACCCAGTTTCAAATAAATCCGGATCGGATACACTCCATAAACGTGCTACCGATTCTGCTACTTTTTCAAGCTGAGTTTTAATCTGGATATGTAGATGTTATGGATGTTACACGAAATCATTAATTCATTGACGATTGTAATTTTTTAAGTTCACTGATAGATAAATTTGAACACATACACTGGGTGCCAGCATATTTTTAGCATGTTGTGCCAAAGACCAAAACCTCGGCGCCTGTATTCCCTCCTGTGGATCAATATACATATTTGCGTTCCAGCTTGCTGCCATTTTATCATATTGTAAACTCCCCATACCGTCGCCGGCACTCTTATTGATAGTTTCATCGCTACCCCAGGTATTCCTATCTGTTGGCGTTGTCGTCGAGAGATGTTGAATCAGAACCGAGTTCCGTTTCGTGTCAATGTTTCCAAACATTGAAAATACAAGTTTCTGAATAGGGACTTGGGTAGCCAGCTTGACGGGTTTTTTCTTTGAAGGTAAAATTTTGAATGATGGGATAGAACTGAATTGTGCGAGTATTTTTTACTTATTTGTTCGTTCGAGTATTGTTTATAATTATTTTCTAGATAAAATATTTTGTTACGTGTTTGGGGTGTATTTTCTCAAAGACAAAGTTTTCAAGCTTTACAAAGTAGATTTGGTGATGTAAAGCGAGTGCACGAAAGGAAATTGCCAAAAAATAATATTCGCCGCAGCAAGATTATAGAAAACAAGCCAACCAACAAAACATGAACCAACCAAACAAAAGGATAGATTGATAATAGATAATAGTTGATAGTGGTGGAGCGAGTGCAAATCGTCGCAGTTATATATAAATATTTTTCCATTCTACCCATAAACATCTATAAAGATAAAGAACTGATTAACCGAATGCATTTTTTCTAATACCCGTTTTGCTTTAGAATTTGGCGTGCACAACATACATGCAGATAAGTAATAGAGAAAGAAAGAGGGGAGTCGATGAATTAAATTATCGATATGCAAAAGAACAAACAAGCAAGCAGAAACAAGCAAATGGCTTCATCACTTTATTATTTATTATTTATTAACAACATTGAAGAAAAAACATTAATATCAATATGGATTCTATGTGATACACTTTGTTTTCGTCAACTAAAAAAAAACTCATAGTAAATAACGATAATAATAACGATGATAGTCGATAATAGAAAGAAAAAGTTTGTTTATTTTTTCCTTCACACTTGTCATACTCATCGTCATTTATTTTTTTCCGGTAACAATGAAGATTATCGAGCGAATATTGAAGTTCTCCTTTACTCTTGCATATACATATACAGTACATGATGTTTGTTCTTTTTCAAAACTTACACGTACACACACTAACGTTAATAATAGTAACGGTAAGACAATGACTAATAATATCCCTTTATATGATTACTCGGTATCAAAAGAGCACCCAAATCTCATTGCCATAATATATTTCAAACATGCCAAATAAAATATACATATATTATGTGTCTATTATCATAATAATAGGAAAGAATACTAATACTCACCCACTCATCCCACGCTACTTGTATCGTTATTACTATTAAAGTATAAAAGAAAGGATATGTGTTCGTGTATACAATGGAAATGAGACATATCAGGGGCTAACTTCTAATATCGATATAACACGCATACATCTATGCATAGAGAACAACTTTGATCCGGATTTAATTGAAACCAGGATATAGTCATTCATTCGTCATTTTCACAATGTTCATGTTCATTGTGTAGTTAGTATGAAGATCACGCTAAGTAATCCATTTAGTTTAGTATGAACACCATCCAGCCTGTGGGAGTTTTACGATCAAATCAGCAACCAAACTAACGCTAATTTTCAGCAACAAACTCGAGCCGACCAAACCCAAACCAGAACACTAGATCATTTTTTGAGCACATAGCGATAGTAATAATTTTCTAAACTGGGATCTAATCAAAGAAAATACACGTGATTCAAAGTCTAATAACTTTAGACCTGGCGCCATAACGATAACAACCAATCGATGCCACGTGAAGACCAACTTCTTGAACCAGTAAAATGTGCTAAATCTCAGCCAATCATAATGCTATCTGTAGAATGAAGTAAACACCTCAAAAAGTTTTTGAATTACCGCCAAAATACAAATGCCATATTATCGACTAAAGGGTAAAAATTGCCAATTTTATACTTGCATTCTCATTTTCCGTCACTTGATTCTTAGACTTAATCTAAAATTTTATCGTCAATTAACAAAAGACCTGATAAAGGCAATACGTGCCTGCAAAACAGCAGCTGACGAACGGGCCGTCATACAAAAAGAATCAGCCACCATTCGTACCAGCTTCAAGGAAGAAAACAACGATGCGCGTCATGCCAACGTAGCAAAACTGCTCTACATTCATATGCTGGGGTACCCAGCACATTTTGGACAAATCGAGTGTTTGAAACTGGTTGCGTCGAATCGATTTGCCGATAAACGACTGGGATATTTGGGAATTATGCTTCTTTTGGATGAGAATCAAGAGGTTTTGACGTTGGTGACTAATTCGTTGAAAAAGTAGCTTGTTGTTCTTTTGTTAGAGTTGTTTGTGTAATTTGATCGAAAATAAAGCTAATTGTTTTTCATTTTTTTTTATCGCTAGCGATATGAATCATTCAAATATGTATATTGTAGGATTGGCATTGTGTACCTTGGGTAACATTTCATCTCCTGAAATGGCACGTGATTTATGTGCAGAGGTGGAAAAATTACTTGGCAGCACTAACACATATATTCGCAAAAAGGTGAGGATCAAATAATATATCTTTTTGAGCGCGCGTTTAATTTATCGTTTGCCAGGTAAAAAATGATGTGTCATTTTAGGCGGCTTTATGTGCTATGCGCATCATCAGAAAAGTCCCGGATCTTCAAGAGAATTTCTTTAGTCGTGCAAAGTCTCTATTGAATGACAGAAATCACGGTGTCTTGCTCACTGGTACGACTTTTATTACGGAATTGTGTCATCAGAATTCTGAGGCTTTAGAGACATTCCGCAAAGTAAGATTAGATTTAATTTTTTGAATACGCTCTTACATTTTCTGTTTTTGTTATTAATGGTGGTGTTGTTGGTGGTGATGATAGGCTGTTCCTTTATTAGTTCGACATATGAAGAGTTTAGTGACAGCAGGATATTCACCGGAACATGATGTGACTGGTGTGACAGATCCCTTTCTTCAAGTCAAAATATTAAGACTTTTACGGATTTTAGGAAAGGGTGATTCAGAAGCCAGTGAAGCGATGAATGATATTCTTGCTCAGGTTAGTCAAGATTGGCTTACTTAATTCCAAATTTCTCTACGAGTATTTTTTATTATGAGATAATTATAATTTTACGCTGATGCACTTTACTCAAAAGGTGGCAACAAACACTGAATCTGCCAAAAATGTGGGAAACTCAATTTTGTACGAAACAGTACAAACCATCATGGAGATACAGTCAGAACCCGGTTTACGTGTACTAGCAATTAACATTCTCGGCAAATTTCTCACAAATCGAGATAACAATATCAGGTATTTAAGCTCCCATATTCACATCAATTTACTTATTTATGATGCTTGTTCGCTAATCAAAAAATATATTATATTTCATTGAATGACAGATATGTTGCGCTCACTACCTTGAATAAGACGGTGTCCATTGACGCTAATCCGGTACAACGACATCGTAATATTATTCTAGACTGTTTGCGAGACGGTGATATTTCAATTAGAAGGCGGGCACTAGAACTCGCGTTCGCTTTAATTAACGAGTCGAATGTTCGTGTGTTGACTAGAGAATTGTTGGCGTTTTTGGAGGTGGCTGATAACGAATTCAAACAGGGAATGACGACGAAAATATGTCTGGCTGCTGATCGGTAAAACGAGCGATTATTACCGACTAATTTATATTTCTTTATTAAATTATTTGCTAATAAATGGATGAATTCTCATTTATTAGATTTGCTCCTAATAAGCGATGGCACATCGACACAGTGTTACGTGTCCTGAAATTGGTATGTTTAGAATAAGATTCGAGATTTTTTTCTTTTTCGCGAAATATACTTGTAATTGTTGACATCAAAGTCCTATCACACATTGCTTGAAGGCTGGAAACTATGTACGCGAAGAAATATTATCGAATTTCATTCGATTAATAGTGCTGACTACCGATTTGAACGCATATACAGTGCAAAAGCTGTATGCTGCTTTGAAGACTGATATTTCTCAAGTAATAATTTAATTGATTGTTTCTTTGCGATGTTTATTCTTTTATTTTGCTAATTATTATGACTCTTGTATTCTCACAGGAATCACTTACTTTAGCGGGGGTATGGGTAATAGGAGAGTATGGTGATATTCTATTGAAAGGCGGTAGTTTCGAGGAAGAAGAAATTGTGAGAGAGGTATCTTTTATTATTGCTGTAATACAGAATTTAAGATGAACTTTGTAACATTAATTTATAATTTAAACAAAAAAAAAAAAGGTAACTGAATCTGATGTTGTCGATCTAATGGAATCGATATTGGCCGGACCCTATGCAAATCAAGTTACGCGCGGATTCGTGCTCACCGCTCTTATGAAATTAACGGCGCGGTTCACGAATTCAGTAGTAATACAGCGAATACAAGCCAACCTCGAGAGATTCAGCACGAGCATCGAAGTCGAGATACAGCAACGCGCTGTCGAATATAATAATCTATTCAAGGTCGAGTCCATTCGACCGGCTATTCTTGAGAGGATGCCGGCACCTGAAGTTAAAGATGAGACGAATACGAATCGTCCAAGTATGAGTTGATTTATTGTCAGATTACAAATTAAAATCAAATTACTTGATAAATAACCGATATTAATGATGGACGTTTTATTTTTTAAAATTGATGAAACAATAGCCGACGATGTTGCTGTTGGAAATAGCGAAACTGGAGTAAGTAAATGCTATAATATCGATTGATATAAAACGCTCTTCCTATAATATATTATATATTTACGATTTCTTTTAGACCCTTTTGGACCTGGCTGGTTTGTCAAATTCAGGAAAGGCTGTCGAAACTAAAAATACTGTCGATATATTGGAGGATATTTTCGGCAACGTTGCAACTGCTGTGCCCACTACATCCTCTAAAAAGGATGATATAATGAGTTTATTTGACATACCAAATAATACAACTACTACTGCTACAAGTAATAAGGCTACAACAGTTCTAGGCGCCAAACCAGCCAATCCCTTGGATAGTCTTGGGCTTTTGAACTTAGGACCGAGCAACACCAATACCAACACCAACGCCAACACCAATACCAACACCAACGCCAACACCAATACCAACACCAACGCCAACACCATCAACACCAACATCACAACCACGCCAATACTACCACAATCAAATTTATTGCCTCAATCCCTTCCTACACAAAGTCCTGTTACTGCCGCTGCAACCGGTCTTGATTTCACTTTACAAACTCCTGCGGCACAAAGTAAAGTTTTTCAACCATTTTTTTTTTCTGCCGTGTTACTTTCATTATTAATTTATGCGGCTATTAACGCGTGGTGTCGTACTTTAAATTTTTCATTACTATAATGATAGGCTACACCGCTTATGATGAAAACGGTTTTAAGATTACACTTGATCCCTCAAAAGACGCGAGTAGCCCTAACGTTCTTAATATTATGGTGACTTTCCATAATGTCGCGGTTGGTAGCCAAATACAAAACTTATTATTCCAAGCTGCGGTTCACAAGGTATTAACTATTGATCCTGGAAGTTTAATTTGAATTTTTTAATAAAAATAATTTATTATTTGTAGACTCAAAAATTACAAATGCAAACTCCTTCATCAACAAATATTGCACCTGGTTCAACTGCTACGCAGCTTATTCGAGTTGCTAATCCTCAAAAGGTAAGTAAAGCTTATATACATGAATCTCTAAATTCTGAAAGATATTATTGTATTAATTCAACCATGCTACACGCTAGACAAATGTTCGATTAAAACTTCGAATAGTTTATCAAACGTCGCCCGACACGAAAATAGATGAGATTACCGAGTTTAGCGGGTTCCCACAGGAGGTTTGGTAAAAACATATCTTTTTACATAGATATAGAATTTTATTTTATAAGACTTGTTATTTTCTATCTTTATTATATAATTAGTTCTATTATGTATTAATTTGTATTTGCAAAACAAGATATTTTAATCCTTTGTTGTTTTTATTATTATTACAATTATTACAATTATTGAGATAGCATCAAAAAAGATATTAGAGGAGGGATATCTATAAAATCTATTCTGTATTTTTCTATGCGAAATTGAAAATATTAATTAGATGTTTACTATAAAAAACGAGAACAATTACTCACCAAATCAACAGAATAAATAAAAGTCGCACCAGTTATTATCTGACAATTAATTTTCTTTGTACTATTGTTCCCATTCTCATTGTTCTCTCCAATGCGCTTGGATCTAACAAAGAATTATTGTATATGCTATGCTTAAGTACATACATCAACTGGCATTAAGAGATATAATCTTCTTCGAAAGTCAGTATGCCTTGATTACTCCCAACTGGATTCGAAATTCTTTTATTATGTTTCTTATTAATTCCTTGTGAATCGACTTTTTTCTGTGATTGGGAGCTTATCGTTGAAAGCACAGAATCTCTGCGAGTAGGCATATATGTATGATTAACACTTTCAACTACTCCTCCGCTTCCTCCATAACTAAACGAGGATCTATGCGAAGGAGAAGAATGTCTCGAGTTTTTTGACGGCTTTGCAGAAGACACCGAAGTAGTTTTCGAATGTCTTCGATGTGGTTGCACGTTTGACGATGAATTGTGTCCTTGATGATGATCATGCAGCTGTTGTTGCTCATTATTGTCATGGTTAATATTGTTATGATTAATATTGTTATGGTTAATATTGTTAAGATTGATATCATTGTGTTTTTGCGAGTTTCTTGTTTCTCTTCTGTGTGTAGGGAAAATATGATGTTCTTGTTCAAACTGTTGCCGTCTTGTAAGCTTGGGAAGACCTGCAATCTCTCGAAAAAAGTTACTGTCGCGTAAAATCAAGCTCCATAATATTAGATATGCTGCAAAGAAAAACGAGTTAAAATATTAATTAGTTTTGAAGTAATCAAGATGATTAGTAGTATCTCACGCGTTCAGAATCTGTACTTACCAAATGCAATAACAGTGGCCAGCGTCAAAAGAGACAAACTCAGTATAGCTATGAAATTCAGGGAATCGAAAATGATATTTGGCATTTTGATAGTTTAATTATACCGATATTCTCTTTTTTTTGATCGTTAACATAAGGTGTTTGTAAAATAGAATAAAAAAGAAATAGAATCAAAAAAGACGGGTGATTTTTATACACACACGCGCAGCACTAGAATTAATGGTCATATGATAAACTTCATTGCTACGCCGTCAATTTTATGTGGTTACTCCGCCAAAGAAACTGCGTCTAAACTTTTAGAGAAATTAAATTAACATTAACAGTCATTCATTTATCGTTATCTGAAGCGAATAAAAGTTAATCATACACAGTGAAGTTCACTTTAACGAACGAATCCTCTTTATATAACTATAGCCTATTAACGTTAATAAAAGAGTCCACTTGGAACGGGACCCTTGTCAAAGTGAATACGTATTAATTATGCATAGATAATTCACGTGGCATGATTTCATCGAACTTGCGACTATGAGACAAAGTTATTTTATGAAAAAGTATATTTTAACCTTACACGGTAAACCTCCCCTAAAGAGATTTTTGGTCAAAGTCGGGGATTTCTCTGCGTGACTAATAATCCTTAAGTTGTGATAAATTACTTGCATAAGAACTGACTTCGAGAGGTTTACTGTGTATTGGTATATCAAAATACCAAAAATGTAAAAATATCGCTGCATCGAGAATTTATTATAAAAATCTTTATATCGAGGAAATTTATTAGAATATTTACTCTAAATAAAATCTATAACTACAAATATTTCAGTTCACTTTCATCAAACCCTATGGTAGGAAAACTCTTAGAAAACCGAATGACATCCTGTTTAAGTTCTTCAATGCGTGGTTCCGAAGAACCGTTATCTCCGACATATTCTTTGAAATCTTTAATCTTGGTTCCTATTATTCATAATCACAATAGCAATCATAATCAGTAAAAATCCATATTGCTTGATTATGCAATTCCAAATACAACAAACTGAAGCAAAGAATATTTAACACACCTGTAACTTTTTTATTCACATCAAGTGCTATCTCAACAGCACGATCAATAAACTCGGTAACTTTTTCAAAATCAGATTCAACTAGTCCACGAGTCGTCATTGCAGGAGTGCCAACACGAACGCCACCTGGAATCATTGCACTGACGTCTCCGGGAACGGTATTTTTGTTTGCGGCGATATTTGCTAGTTCGAGTATACGTTCTACACGAGCACCGTCAATTTTCTAATGATACGTATATATATCCAAGAAAATGTAATAAATAATGAAAACTTTTTTTTTGATGGATGAATGAATGATTGATTTTGTGAACAAGTGATATTTATTTACCATTGGCTTCAAATCCAACAAAAGTAAATGTGTATCAGTACCACCCGAGACCAACTTGTACCCTTTCTTTATAAACGCGTCTGCAAAAGCCAAACTGTTTTTGAGCACTTGCTCTTGATATTCTTTAAATATTGAAGTTTTAGTTTGCTTCAGTGCGACTGCTAGTGCGGTTATTGTGTGATTGTGAGGTCCACCTTGATGCCCAGGAAAAACTGACTGATTTATGGGAGTCTCGAGTTTATAGTGTATTTCTAATGAAATAATATGAAATCTGTTTATACGAGATATAAGGCAGATATAAAAACTTAAAGAACATATATATTCTTTTCCCAACCTTGGCCTTTTTTATCAACGTTCCTAACTCCTTTTCGGAAAAATATAAGAGCACCGCGTGGTCCTCTTAATGATTTGTGTGTTGTAGTTGTGACGATATCGGCAAAATAAAAAGGTGATGGTAAAACACCTGCAGAGATGAGACCTATAAAAATAAAAAATAACAAATATCAATAAATCATTAAGAGATAAAAAGAACCATGCAAATTAGTAAGAAAAAATACCACTGATGTGTGCAATGTCAACCATCAAATACGCATTAACCTTCTGACTAATCTTCTTCATCCTCTGATAATCAATATTTCGCGGATACGCACTAGCGCCCGCAATAATGATTTTAGGCCGGTATAAAGTCGCGGTGGCTTCCAACGCGTCATAGTCAATTATACCTGTTTGCTCGTTCAGACGGTATGGTAGGGTTTCAAAATAGACGGAGATGGCGGATATTTTTTTTGTATCTGTTTGATACCCGTGGGATAGACTATCTAGAATGAGCTCCATCAACAAGTTCTTTTTGGAAATAATCACGTTTGTGGTAGGGAGTAAGAAGGGTAGTTCCTAAACTTACTGTCCTCCGTGGGGCAGATCTAGTCCCATTAGGCGTTCGTGTGGTTTTAGGAGTGCGCTATATACGTAGAGGTTGGCAGGTGCACCTATTAAATTTATTTTTTGATTTTAATTAAAGTATCAATTTAATTCACATATTAATAACACTTACCAGATAAAGCTTGAACATTCACTCCCCATTTAGACCCTTCCAAATTAAAAGCCTCCAATGCACGTTTCTGGCACAAGGTTTCCGCTTGATCAATAAATTCATTACCACCGTAATACCTTTACGAAAAATCAATACATTATTTTTACAAACGTAACCCGTAAAAAACATAATATTTATCAATCATGGTGTGAAAAGAAAATCCACCTTGCACCAGGATACCCTTCCGAATATTTATTTTGCATGACAGATCCAAGGGCTTCCATTACAGCACGCGAAGTGAAATTCTTTATTATGTTAATTCAATTTATTACAATTTTAATGACCATCGGATTATATATGCAATACTGAAATAACTTTATTAAGAGGTGTATCTGTATAATATTATGATAATAGTTTTGTAGTACCTCCGAGGGTATAAGCACGATGCTTTCACGTTGACGCTTTTTCTCTTTTTCTATTATATCGAAAATGTCAGGATCGGTCTCTATTAAGGGTTTATTCAAATACTTTAAAATGCATATAGAATTAGACAATGATAATGGCATTGGACAATGTATTAAGATTATTATTATTCCCACTCACTTCTTTTTGAGCCAGAGCTGATAAAAATCTTCGCTAAATCAGGTAAAAAAAAATGTTAGGTAGGCGTATTTCCTTACGCGGAACGAAATTCTTCGGAAACTTACGTTGGCAACATTAGATAAATTCGTAGTACGCGTCAAAAAATCAATTCGCTTTAAAGTCTTTAACATTGTGCAAAATTTCCAAAGTATGAACCAAAAAAATTTGTTGAAAATCAATCATGCATAAGATCTTTGTGACATGATAGTCGCGTTTAAGTGAAATTTTCGAAGAGGCGACATCAGAATGGAACTAAACTCGGACACTGTATTTGGTATTTCATCTTTTTGTCGTAATTCTTCTAGTGTATTGTTTTATAAACAGAAGGCTTGTTATTTTGTAGAAGACTGTGTAGGTGCTTCGAATGCGACGAAGCCGTCAACACCTGGATTTGTTAAAACCTGCTGTAGATGTCACTGCTCAAGACCAATAGAAGATTTTATTAGAGTAAGAGGTACCGTTATTCGAGAATTCAACAGTTGTAACCGGTGCTCCATCCAGAGGAAAAGCTACTCGCATAATAATTTGACAACTCGAAAAAGGAGACGAATAGATGGGCAAAAAGACAAAAGCGAACAGGTCGATCACGTAAATGAGTTAGAAATTATCACACCAACAAAAGTATCAACAACGAATAACATTGATGTGATAATATGTCAATCAGATCAAATTGAAATGATTGTACATAGTAATTTTGAAGAGGCCAGACAGACAAACAAGCCGATTCAACTTGGCTTTCATATAACATTAGAACCCGACTTTATTCAAAAGATCTTTCCGAATTCTCCGATAATCAACAAGGATGAACTACGTCAGCTTGCGGAAATATTTGCACAGATTGTCAGTAATGGGACCACGTATAGATGGGAGATCCGGGATATATACATAAGTTCATTACATATTGGTCGTGGATCTATTTGGTTGGGTTGTTGCCAGAGTGACCTTCGATCCTGGAAGCCACCAGCCAATAAAATACAACCGACACCACAACGAATGATGAGTAAGTCGAGACGAGGAATACAAAGATTCGCGTGTAATGGACAATTGAAAATTAAATTTGATTTTGCGAATCAACAAGTTGGGTTAAATATTAGGCACGATGTTCAACATATTCCCCCTTCTTCGGTTAAACCACCAGCATTAAATAATAATGATGATGGTGATGATGATAATAATGAGACTATAATTGTTAATGGTGATGATGATGTAGATGAACAGTTATCGAACGTGTTACAACTTGATCCGGCTAGTATTATTAATCAAGATTTAATCGAACAATCTTTTGTCGAGCATTCGTTATCAGAGGATTTGCTTATGTCTGATCAAGTCGTAGCGGTATTGGATGAACGTGTATTAGGAGAGAGCATTTAGTGGTTTGAGAACATTGACATCAGCAGTACATACTTTATATAAATAAAGTGATATACGATTATTAATTTTATTAGCAGAATTGGTTAATCATATATGACATCATGAATCAGAAGTATCATTATTCCATTTCAAAACTTCACTTTGATAATTCACAAAACAACGAAATTCATTTGCCAAACCACCTTGATGTTGAGGATAAAATGTAGTCATTCGCGCTTTAATTAATCTTTCGACTAAATCACTCATAACTTCCCCTATTCAATGAAGAAAATTAATTTATTTTTGCTCTTTTCAACGATAACAAAAACATTTTTTTTCGATCAATTTACCTGTGCACACAATTATTTTACATGCCTCTGGCTTCGCCAACCACCGTACGGTAATCATCGTCTTGGTACAACACTCTTCACTCAAAAAAGGCGGATCCACAACCACAAAATCGAATGTTCCCTTCAAGAGCGCAGCATCGCGAAACTGAGCTGGCTGTTTATAGTCGTAATGTATGAAATCTTTTCCGTAGACGTCAAACCGCGTGTCGTACTCAAAAAGAAAAGCTCGCAGCAAATTGTTGTTGGGAGATTTTCGTATTAAAGACTTTTTGTACATACATACAAATTAAAATATAGAGAATCAATATTTGAATCGTATCGTAGCAGTTTACTAAATCTGTTATAGGAATCAATTTCGAAATAATCAATATTAGATTATGCGACTGCGTTTTTTATTTATTATACCTTTAATTTCACAAAAATCGTGGGAGTACTAATGCATGCTATGCGAAAGTACTCTTCACTTTTATTATTCGCCACATTGATTAGTATTTCTTCTGCGATTGTTTGTGAAGTATTTTGATCGTACTGTAAATAGAGATTTTATACCGAAAATAAAAAATATCGATTGCTTTCTCACAAATCAGAAATACAAAAATTTAAAAGACAAATACCCAAAATTGGCTCAACTTTATATCCAAATAATTAATTGATGTATACGTTAATAACTATATATCATTCATCGTCACCGTAAATGAAAAATGAAAAACCTGCCAATCCTCTGTGAACAAATCCATTTCATTAACATCACTGTTATCATCATCATCACCATCACCGTCACCGTCAACATCAACATTCAAGTCTTGACCACCATCTTTATCGTTATTCTCACTATATCGAGCTTCTGATCTCGAACGTAATTTTTCAAATTGATCCTGTGCGTTTTGTTGATCTTTAAGAAATTCATGTAGCGCGGATAAAGTGTGGGTTGATAACCTTTATTGAATATTAGGAAGTAATGATTAGACACTAATTATTCGACTTTGAACATCTAAATATTAGATTGTAATTACAACATTGGTATATCATCATGATCGTCTTCCATTTTTAAAAATCTTTTCTCAAGATATATAATAACATAACGATAACGATAAGAGTAATACGATTTCACGTGATTAATTCGTAATTTGAAAAGAATAAGATATCGTAAAATTTATGATTCAATTAAATAAGTAAAGCTTTTTCTGACATGACGGAAAATAACGATAACGAATGTCTTTGTATCTCTAAATGTGACAATTACCAAAAGGAGAGAAAGTATATCACAAAGGAAAACGCGTCAAAAAAAGATGATCTGAAATCGCACGCGCGTCACGCAACAATTATCATAAAATTCGCTGTGACCGCGTTGTTATTTTTCTTTGAACAGCACCACTCACAACTCACACATTTTTAAAGTAAACTAAAAGAAACGAAAGACACCACTTGCATTACCAAAAATGGTTGCATCTTCACCCGAAATGAATATGTTACTTGAACCTACTACGAATACCTTATTTACGACCACAACCACAAACAGCAATTCTTCCTTGCTTACAGTACCAAAAACTCCATTTTATGGGTACTTGCTTTACTGTGAAGAAGTAAGGCTTCACTTCCTGGCGGTGAATCCTACAATGGCTGTGGAAGCAATGTCGCAATTTATCGAAGAGAAATGGATGGTATTGACAGAGGTATGTTTGTTGAACGTCCAGGAATGAAAAGGACGAACACGAAAGAAATACACCCTTGCTATGTTATCGCTTTCATGTACGACGTAACAACAATGTAGTAAAGGCATGAAAACCTTGTACTTAATTATTACGCGTTTCATTAAAAATTGACGCATTCTACTTTTGTAGAGAGAGAGGCAGGACTATTCTGAACGCGCTAAAGAGCTTAATTGGCAAAATCTCAGCCAGGTTGGTATTAGTAACTAGTAGTATCGATAATTGTAGTCGCTTGATTCATATAACTCGATGTTAAATTATTCACCTTATTTAATGACGCGGTACTTAATATTAGGACGAGAAAAACATGTATCAGGCAATGATCACAAATTTACAAGATTCCAACGCTTCTTTCGGAAATCCTAAACAAGAGATTCTTCTTTCACGGGAAGCACCCGAGCTCGATGATACTCGTCCGTTAAAGAAATCCCGCGTGTTTGTCAACGATGACGCGTCTTCAGTATCATCATCATCATCGTCATTGCCATCGCCATCATTCGAACTGGACGACCTTCCAAAATTTGCCGAATTCTGTTTTTCTAGTTCTTCTGATGGTGACGATGAGAATGAAAGTTCCGACGACGATGCGGATGAAAATGGTGATTTCGATTATGAGAAAACTTTTGAAAGCACAATCTCATTATCTGAGAATCCTATTTTTTCGAATGTTGAATTTATTGAGCCGCTGCCGTCTTCACCTTTTTCGCCATCTTTATTCAATACACTCGAACCTAATACTTCAAGTATCATCGCTACCACATCAGCAGCAGATAATCTTGCAACAACAACACCACCAATTATGGGGGACATTGATCTCTTTGAACATCAACAAGGTCAATTCGTTGCTTTTCCAAAACCTCCTTCTCCCGCATTCTTGCATTTCTCAAATTACATCAGACCCCAAATCACCGCAAAATTTCCCAACGAGACTTATGGAGGTATCAATAAACTAATTAAAAATCATTGGAATTCAATGTTGAAAGAAGATCGAGAGCCATGGGAGCAACAAGCGAAAGAAGATGAGAAAAGATTTCAAAAAGAAAATTTGTGTTTCTTGGCGACTCGTACACTTAAACAAGTTACGGAAACTTTCGAAGTTTTTTATAATCAAAATATCAATGAAGTTGGTATTACTGATAAAGAAAATTCGAAACAATCTGACAAAAAAACTAATACCGTCACCTCCGCCACTTCTACTACGAACAATAATGCAAAATCTACGATTAAAACTCAGAAAACGCCGCAAAAGTATTCACCAACTAAGCTGCGTCCTATTTTACCACGACCACTCCAACCATCAAATAACACCCAAAAAAAGATTTCAACAATCATCACCACACCATCAGCAACCATCGCCACACCATCAGAAACCATCGCCACAACATCAGCAACCATCGCCACACCATCAGCAACCATCACCACACCATCAACAATAATCACCACACCATCAATCACCATTACCCAGCTACCACTCAAATCACTCTCAATTCAACCACATTATTTACTTGCACAGCACCCAGACTTGAAATTCGGACTCCAAGTTCCTACTCGTGCAAAGTCACCCTATCAATACTTTTACACAGAGTTTGCTGAGAGTTTTGCAGCACTCTACCCCGATACCCCCGTCGACCAGCTCCTAAAGATGAAATGGAACCGATTGTCGCCGTTGGATCGTGAACCTTGGGAGTCCAAGGCAAAAGAGGATCACGAGAGATTTCGACATGAAAAAGATGCTTATTTGAAAAATCAACATAAGTGTTTTATAAATTCTCAGAATGGTGTTTCGCTTGCAGAGTTTTTCATGTCGTGATTTTAGTGCTTCTTTTGGTATCGATAGTTAGTAATAAATTGTAACTTGTCTGTCTAATCATAGTATAATTATTAGTATAATTCATAATTTAGTTTTTCAAAGCAAATTTTTGAAATAAACATTTAAAGACAAAAAATCAGAAACAATTTGGAGATTGGTTAAGAATGCGATAGGATAAAGTATACGCGTTATATCATCACCCATGTACATGTATTTGCAAGCTTCATTATTATTGAATTCTTTGGTATCTTTTATAATTATTATTACATTGGTCACTAAAATGACGCAGTTTTCAGAATAAATAAAAATCTTGAAGAGAAAAATAACTTTTATATACATAAATAATAAAATAATTTATAAAAATAAAATTATAATAAATTGTAATTTTTTTTTAATAATGACAATTACAATATAATAAAGTTATACATATTTATATTTTTTATAATTATATTTCTTTCAATGATTATTTATAATAAATATTTTTAAAAATATTATTATTAATAATAACAAATTTTATGAATTTTCATTATTAATATAAATACAAATTTTATTATAATTAAAAGTTTTTAATTGTTATTATTTATTGTTGTGATATTTTATTAAATAACTTCTCAAGTTAAAAGCTAATTTTTTAACATTATAAATATTATATTATAATATAATTAAATCTTTTTATATTATTTTATATGATTTTATAACTTTCAAATATGTAATTATAAAATATATAATTTTAAATCAGATAAAAGAGATAATATAAATAATTGAAATTAAAAATGGAGAATTAATAGTATTTTCAAAGATAAGTAATATATATTTGTTTTGTTAAGCAATTAAAATATGCTCAAAAATCTTCTTTTAATAAATATAAATATAATTGTAACTTAAAAAGTAATTTATAATTAAATAAATATTAATAATTTCTTTTTTATTAATTTAAAAAATTATAACTTTATAGTTAAAATAAAAGATCATATAACAATTATAACTTTATAATTAAAATAAAATATTATAAATAACCTAAAACAATTTTGTAATTAAAGCAAGAGATTATTAACCAAATAATATAACTTTACAACAAAAGTCAAGAGATTATATTTATTAAACAAAAATTATCTACTAACAAATAAAAAGAAATAAAAAAATAAAAAAATAGCAAACTTGATTAACATGTTATATTTATAGATAAATTATATTTGTAAAATTACCAATCAAATTATAAAATGAAATAATTTTTGAAATAATCATTAAAATGATTGTTAATTAATTAATTAATTATCCAATAAAAATTTAAGGATATAATTATCCAATAAGAATATAGAAATATGAGAAATATCAATTTATAACAATAATTATTTTAGAATTTTAAATATTTAATATACAAATTATAACTAATTAGCAGCCAAAATTCTATTAAAAATTGGACCAATTCACCAAAAACATTTTGAAATACCAAATTATGACTTGTATTATAAATGTTAAGCTTTTATTTGTTATTAAATAACTATAAAAAATATTTTTTATAGTCAGATCTTTTTATAATCATCCAATTTGAGAAATATATATTAAAGAAATTTAATTGTATTTAAACTCAACTAAATTATGAAATTATCTTTGTAATTAATATTAGTGTTTGAATTCTTTTTTTTTGCAATACAAGCAAATTTCTCTAATTAAATCCATTTATAGTCACACCTTTTTATACTTTTATATCGTTACATCCCTTTGTATTTACTCCCCAAGAAAGATTATTTATCCAGACATTTCAGCATACTTTTATACTTTTCAATAATCATATTATTATTATCGTCACTTTATTATTAAATTATTAAAATCCATAATTTTCGTAACACGATCCATTGTGTTCAATTCTATGTACTAATACTAATACTAATAATAATAATAATAATAATAATAATAATAATAATAATAATAATAATAATAATAATAATAATAATAATAGCAAAATTATCCAATTAATTAATTTAACATTTTCGAACTTCAAAGAGCTGAAGCACCCGTAATAATATCGACTATTTTATCAAAAAAAAAATCATCACAAAAAAAGTAAGTAAAGAAAACAGAGACAACTCGAACCGTGCATAACAAAAAAACATAACATCACCATACCCAATTCATTAGTAATTGCTGCTTGTCGTCCACGATTATAAGTAAGCGTGAGTTTATCAATCATTTCTCCAGCATTCTTTGTCGCGTTCTCCATTGCAGTACGTTTCGATGACATTTCTGCTGCGTGACCTTCGACTAGTCCCCAATAAAGGGAATTTGCTAACGCAAATTCTTGAAGATTTGCTAAAACGTCATCTTGAATTTCGTATGCAGCAAAGTTGCCTAAATATACAAATTAAGCATGAATCAAATTGTTAATCATTCGTCTATTTAATGATTTTTTAATAAGGCCAAAAATTATATTAGATGTAATATTTTACAAACCAGACTTTACGAAAATCTCCTCTGAAAAAGCAGGAATAATCTGCGCCTCGTACGCAATCACTGACTTGAAATGATTGTAAACGATAATCGCCTGATCGAATGGAATTTTTTCTTTGATAATTATATCGGCAATGGCTGATGCTTCCGCATAAGTCGGTATACTTTTCCCGATTTGATTGAATGACAACTTTATATTTTCACGATGAGTACGTGATATTTGGCCTTTAGCTTTGTCGCCGAGTACGATTACTCCACTCTCTGGTTTTTCTTCGATGAATTTACGTGATGCTTTGGCGACACTGCTGTGTATACCACCACATAGACCACGATCCGAGGAAACGGTGATAATGAGAGATTGACCTTCATCCACAGATTTTGTGCCGGCGTGCTCAAAAAGATCTATTTCATATTATCTTCAATTAAATTAAACCCATTTTATTTTATTTTATATATAATTTATTTGCGTACCTGATTGAGTTTGACCAAAGCTTCTTGCTGTTTCCATTGCTTTTTGTGCACTAAATTTATTTTATTTTAAGTAATTATATTCATTGATTTCTATGAGAAAATATAACATAAAATCTCAACTAATTTTATATTTTGAATATGCATATATTACATATGTACATATTAGGCAAAACAAAGCGTACCGCGCCATTTTTGTTGAAGCAATCATCTTCATGGATTTTGTAATCTGCGTATTATATTATAGTAATAGTAATGATAGAAATGTTGAATCCAAGAAGACATTTCCTTTAATTGATCAGAGATGTATTTGATGTATGTATGTATAACCTTTCTTTGAATTCGTTTGATTAATCGAATAATTGATCTTTTTTAATTAGATAAAGAAATATGGATTTTGTTTGTTACCTTTGCAATGTTGTTGACAGATTTTAAGCGGAGTTGTACTGTGTAAAAACAATGTATTTAACAAAGAGTAAAAAGCTTTGAGACCCAAACGAGTAAAATATATCACTTTTTATCAAAAATTGTCTTACTTTCTTTTAAAGTGGCATAATTTCGAGCTTGACATGCAAAGGCACTAGACGGCAAAAGAAAAAAGTTGTAAGCTGTGAACTTGACAAATATGTCCCAAAGGACAAGAAAAACCTTATCAAAACCCATTAACGTAAGCAAGACTAAAAATTTTCAGAAGTATTCACACTCTAACACTACAAGAAGGAACCGTAAATACCTCTGGCCGACAAATGCCACAGCTGGACGAATGGTGCGAACTGAAGAATACATCTCGTTCTCGGATGGTGATCGAAAAGTCGAATTAATTTCTCTGATGTAGATTTTAGAATGATTTCATGTGACACACTGAAAATCATTGATGACATCATCAAAATTTCGAATCTTTTTATCCAAAATATCTGCTTTCGTTTCCTCTTTCACATCAATCGATATCCATTATAAGCAATAAAGCAACATGGGTAGAGTACGTGTTTTTTTTTGTTTATACTCAAGTATCCGTTAATTTTTTTTATCGAGAAAGTTATATAATTACAAATGAGATATTTTTGATTTTCGGTGAAAGGATGGATGGATGGAGACTTTGCTCGATGAATTAATGAAGGTCTCTTCAAAGAATTCTTATTCACATATTTGAACACGTAAATTTATATCGTTAGTTGCACGAATACCAAGTTGTCGGCCGAAAACTGCCAAGTGCAAAAGAGAAAGTGCCTCGACTGTACAGGTTGAGACTTTTCGCGCCGAACGAGGTCGTGGCAAAAAGTCGGTTTTGGTACTTCCTGAAAAAACTTAAGAAAGTTAAAAAGGCAGCTGGTGAATTGGTTTCGATAAATGAGGTAATTTTTTTGGGTACTTATTAGGCGATGAGCGAAAAAATTTATTGTTAAGTGTGATGATGTATAATCAATTCATATTAATTAAGAAAGATCGAAACATTTTTTAATAGATTTTTGAAAAGAAACCGTTGCAGATTAAAAATTACGGTATATGGCTTCGTTACGATTCGAGATCTGGTACACATAATATGTATAAAGAATACAGAGAATTGACAAGGTTAATTATCATCATCATCATCATCATCATCTCACTTGAAAATACATTTGTTTATTAACTTTGACACTAATATAATTGTTTTCTCATAATCCAGAACTGACGCCGTTGAGTCCTGCTGTAAGTTAATTATCTATATACAAATATAAAAAATCTAAAAGAACGGAAAAAACTAATTTCTTTTGCAACATTGCTTTTTGGGATTTTAATAAAAACAGATCAAGATATGGCAGCTCGTCATCGTGCTCGTTTCTCATCAATCCAAATTATCCGTGTTGCAGAATTGACTTCAAATAATGTAAGTAATAATTATATCATTAAATTTATTATTTATTTGAAATTAACAAACTTAAAAACGACTTGATATTAGGTACGTCGTCCTTACATCAAGCAACTGTTAGTGCCTCGTCTCCGATTCCCCCTTCCACATCGCGTTGCTCGTGGCAACAAGAAATCCACGTTCCTTGCAAAACGTCCTTCAACTTTCTATTAATCTATTTCTATTAATAATAACTGAGGTCCATATAACTTATCCACAAAACTATTTCGAAGAAGCCTTGATAGATATTGATAAAAATATGACAACAATAATAATGAACGGTTTATTAATAAATTATGTCACATCAATACAAAGAATATATACACAAAAAGCCAAGAGTATCCGGTTGTTTTAATGCACATTTTCTTTGTGTTTCAACTACTCTATTTATTATTTTTACCGTTTATGGCAAAGTCTATGCGAAATTTTAAAACTATAATTCTATTTTTATTTTGAGAAAAAATTTATCATACAAAAATTTTTTACAAAAAAGAAGACCAGAAACAAAGATCAGAAGTTACAAAACAGGCCATACATAATAATAATTATGTATTTAATTAATTAAACAATTAAAAAAATATACGTTAAATATCGGAAAATAATTTATTTATTTATAGCCAGAAGAAACTGCTGATCTTTGGCCAGTTTTTTGGGGAATAGGGGTGTGGGTTTTTTGTTTGAATGAGTGAAGTTACATTTCACCCGGTATTTCAAAATAATGCCTAAACATGCTTTCATTTCTCAACGACTCGTTTTCCGAAATTACGTAATAAACGTGAAGCAGCAATTTTGGAAATCGTGAAGTGAAATAGAAAAGAAAGCCTTCAGGAACTTCGCCCAGCGATTTCTTTACATGTTCCGGCAGATCTTGATAATGATGTTTCTATCATATATCAAATAAATATGTATTAATAGTATTTCACGCAAATCTTATTATTTACACAGAGTACGAAAAACAAACCTTATTTCTCAGCGCTCTTAATAAATCACGAATTCGCGAACCATCGTATTTTCGATACTTTCCAAGATTATCAACGAGTACTCGGTCGATTCGTCGGTACCAATCTGGGCCAATGACACTGACTACATCAGTTTCTAGACGTTGGAGTAATGGTGAAGGTGGATCACGTTCTTCTATCTCGAAACGATCTGATGCGTCTTGAAGGAATGATAATCGTTTTGATGGTGCCCAAAAGTATGGATGTATCATTACTGTTGAGGCTCTTGGTCTTTAATAGTTTCATTTTAATGCAGGTAATTCAATAATTTAATTAATAAACGGGAAAATGGTTTTTAATTCAAGAGAATAGAAATTTTACCTCTTTTTAGGATCTCGTTCAATCATTCGCTCAATTAAATCACGGGCTTCAACACATGCTTCACCCATATCATCCAATTTATTTAATTCATAAACACCTTTTAATATATTGACTTCCCTCGAATACCGATCACCAAACGGATGCTCGCCACCCGATAACACATAATAGAATAAACAACCCGCTGAGAAAATATCTATCGCCTTTGTCACACGTCGAGGTTGACCATTATTGTTACCACCATGATCCGAACCAGACGACGATGTAAAAGAATTATCATTTAATCGATCCACTGACACCCATGGGTCATTAGTAGGAGCTTCATCTTCAGTGGATGTCGTCGGTAACAAAGGTGATAATAATTCTGGTGCTCGCCAACCAATCGTCCCACCTGCATTGTTTGTCGTATTATGAAAACTGCTTGTGTCACCTTCTAATTTTTTACATAGCCCAAAATCTGATATTAAAACTCTGGCAACACAAGGTTGTTGCATTGGTACACCATTACTATTACTACCGCCACCGTCTTTTTTAATTATTCGTTTATATTTTGACGAGGCTATTAAAATGTTCTGTGGTTTTATATCACGATGCACAATTTTCATTGAATGCAAATGATGCAGCCCGGAAACAATTTGATATAGAATTTTCGGTGGATTAAGTGTTTCCAATAGCTCAGCGTACCGGAAACTTGATCCTTTTTCGATTACGTCATATAACGAGGCTGGACATAATTCGAGGGCAATATATAGAAAACGATCGCATTGTTCTTTACAGTAGTAGCGAATCACGTTCGAGTGATCGTCACTCTCTTGGAGAAGTGATACTTCGTGATGAGCAATATCATAGAAATCAAGAAGTAATCGTTTTACTGCGACATCACGGCCTTCAAAAGTTCCTTTATATACAATAGTCCCGTGACTTCCATATCCTATAATGTAGGAATTATTAAAATATAAATTTTGCGAATTGTTAAAATTCTGATAATATTATTACCTAATATTGTTTCAGAGACAACGAGCGAATTAAGTTTAATTTCACCGTTCGGAGTAGTAAGTACTGTCGAATTATTATTATTACTACTACTACTATTATTATTGTGATTATTGTTATTACTACTATTATTAGGTGGGTGTGTTTTTGTTTTTGACTTTGGCGTTATTGTTGATGTTGATGAATTTGTTATTATTGGGATGGTATTAGTAGTATTTGTTGGTGTTAATATATTAATAGCCTGGTCAGAATTCACCATTGAAACCGCATTAGCATTGGGATTAAAAGTGACTGTTCTTGAAACACTGTCGGTATTCGGTATTACTTCTTTTGACGCAATATTCGAGGATATTGCCTTTTCTTGATCCTCGTCTTTAATGTCTTGTTTTTTCGTATTAATATTATTGGTTGCTCCTTTTGATCGATCTTTCTTTTTGCTTTTTTTCGATTTAAACGAAATTACATTTTCAACACCCGTAGAATCCAATATTCCATATTTATTCTGTTTTCTTTTGGTGAATTTACTGGTAAATTTTGTGATTACACGTCCAATAAAAGTAACTCTACCACCGTTCTGTTGTCTTCTATTCCAATACAACACAAAACCTACAAACAGCAAGATAATCACCCAAGATAAACCTGCTTGAAACAATGTACGCGGTTTCGGAATATCAATATACCGGAACGTTACTGAGTTCACGTGACTCGGGATGCTTGAATCCGGATCGAGAAGTCGTCTATCAGTTGGGCTCAAAATATGATTTCCAATCAAGCAATCTAGAAAAGTTTTCGATCTGGGATGACAATACTCTTTTTCGTTGTCTTCTGTCAACTCTGATTCACCATTCAATCGATAATGATCGTATTTGGTGGCTGGTGAGGAAATTCCTGCCCATTTTGACATTCGCATGAATCGTGTCATCGGGAAGTTTTCAGCGGACATTACAAACAGGCTATCGCCGTCTTCAATACGGTCAATGTATGCAGAGGTTGCAGGTGACGGAGACAATCTATTAATTTGTTTGTAATATTTATTCGGAGGCTGAGGTTGTCGGGCAATATGAAGATCGTTCGACAAGTCTGAAGTAGCGAGCACATCAAAAACATTAATGGCCGGTGAATCGAATTTTTGATACCAAACATGTTGACCTTTATTTTTTATAGTATATAAAAAGGAATTTCTGTGTGAGAATTATTAAGATTATTTATCTTAGCATTTTAAAAGAGAGATAATAAATTTATGTTATGATTCACCATTCTCAGAATCTGTCGACAATATTTCACCCGTGTGAGTCGATGCAATGTACAAACCATCAGGTGACGTTTTGTAGTTAATCTCAACATCAACGTCCAAACTATTAGGAACATACTCGCTATAAGTAACATTCCATATTGGCTTTTTACTTTTACCATCAAATATCGATATTTTGTACGCTTTCAATCACATATCAAACAAGAACTAATCAGTTAGTCACTCTTCTTCCGAATTATTTCTGTGATCTCCATATACACGAATTATGAAAATAGAAAGCCTACCATTTTTCCCCAAATATAAAGCATCTTTTGGCAACGCGCCCACCGACGGACACTCATCATCACCTTCACTATCGAACGACTGAAGCATCTTGCCTGTCCGCGGATCAACAGCAAAAAATTTTGTGGTCTTGCTGCCAACAAATACTTTTCCGTCGACCGAGCGAAATGGGGAAAGATTTACGAGTTGTTTAATGGAGAACGGAAATTTCTAGTTCGATCATTTTTTATGAAATTAATAAAAATAAATAATAGTAGAGATAGCATGTGTGAAGCGGACTAATAAAGGATAATTTCGGTGGGTGCTAGTTTTAAATTAGAACTCGATATAGTCGGCATTGATTGGATTTATCGAATAATTGCTTGTTATTGTCTAATAAAGCAAGCTCAAATATATTTGAATAGAGTGTCATGTGTTAAAGGATTGTATAGACACTATATCGAGTTCCAAGGTAAGATTGCATATGATCTATCTGTAAATACCTGTAATCCCAATTTCGGCGAGAACATATACAAGATCCCGTCATTCGTAGGCTCAACAATATAAGTCACTTGATCAAGATCTTCTTCCTGTAATTTGCTCACTTGAGTATCTGACGAATACTCTTCATCGACAAGACTTTGGTGATGATTAGTAGCCTGGTTTTCGTCTTTTGAATTTTGTCTGGTCGTTTGGATATTATCATCATTATCATCAACATTATCATCAACATTATCATCAACATTATCATCATTATCATCCTCGATATTGTTACCATCACTGCTATTATCACTATTATCGGTAATATTATTCTGAATATCTGCAGCACTTCTCACAGAGGTTCGTATCAATGGACCACCAGCCACACCTTCTAAACTCCACAGAATCTGTCCGTTGTAGCGATCAACCCCGTGCAAGTCTCCATCCAAAGTAGTAATCAATACTAGATTCGTCGACCGGAGTTCCCGTATTTGTTGCTTCGATTTTGTGAACGCCGCTGCTGCTTTCAAAAACCTTTTAATGTGATGGCGTGTAGTGGTTAATTCTTTCGAGCTAACTGGAACTTCACCATTAGTATCACTAGCACCGGTCTTTGCATACGAAATTTTCACCAAGAGAATAGAAACGCATATGAGAAGCGCCCAAATGTAGGTTTTGGTGCGTCTCTGGAAGATTTGTTGAGCAGGCTTGTATAGCCTCATTCTTATTAATTATTATTTTTCAGTGCACTTTTTTTTGGTTAGTTACAATAAAATAATATTCCTTGTTCAGTCACTCTTCTATATGCTCTCGACAACTTTATTAATTTTAAACCAGTTACACTCACACACTATCGTTATGGATAAGTTATCAATAATTTTTTTCGCTTTGTCTTTCTTATATAATGCTATTTAAGACTGATGATCGACACCAGCCTTAACTCTTATACAGTCGTACCTGGGTTAGGTTATATTCCCATAGTTGAGCTGGATTTCCTTTTTATGTGTTTTATATATTCAGATATATCCCATCATCAGTTATATCCCACAAAAATTTAAAATACATATAGCGATAGGAACAAAAAGGGGTACATAAAATATCTACACGCTAATGAAACAAGTAGCTTTGCAGGGAATTCCCACATAAGTCTGACTGCATTGCATTTATTAATTTCTTCTAAAAAGTTCCTTCCATTATTACACACATACTTATAAATATTTCGTCTCGATTCCAGTGTTAAACAAACATTTTGGCACACCTTAAGAGAATACGCTTGTTGTGATGTCACAAACACCCACACCTAGAACACATGATACTGGACCGGAATTCATTAAATAGCTTCTACGCCTCAACGGAAGAGGCCCAGAAGCATGACCACGAGATAACGTCGAACCACCACAATTGTGGGATCATGCAAATATTTTTTATCCAGGATTCAGCGACACAAACCTTCTGTTTACTAATGTAATTATCAAAGTTGAACGGGCGAAGCGTGTTGGACCAAGGAATCCATGAAATGTCCGATAATGTATGTGCTGAATGAATAATGTCCGAGAAGAAACTCGAAGGGTTGGTTACATTTTTAGTAAGTTGCCGAAGGGTGGCATCCTATTCTTAAGAGAATATGAGTAAAGTTAAACATTAAACATAATTATCACTTACCCTTTTCAGCCATTGATTCTTTTTCGAGTAAATAATACTCTTTATCTGAACATCTTGTAACTCTCTCATTATTTTTTACTGCGATAAAAAGGTCACATCAAGCCCAATAACAACTAGAGAAGATTACGAATTGCATGCAATGAGAATACTGTGGCACAATATCAGAACTTAACCCATAAATAAAATAGAATAATTGTTAAAGTGATCTATATTTACTTTGGGATTGGCATCAAGTAACTTCCATAACAATAGCAGATAGTTTTGCCATGTATCTGTGCAAATAAATCAGCTTAATCTGATTTAAGCAATTTTATCATTCAATGATAGTCTGCATATCACTATCATCCAAGTTCAATGATTCTATGCCATTTTCCAATATATTGTACATCCTCTCTATCAGCAACCTTATTTTCAACTTTTGTATTACCTCTGGAATTGTTGAAAAAACAAACTTCATTACTGTACGAAGTCGTTTAGGCAAATTCGTGATTTCGGCAGTTGGTTCTATGTATCTCTGCTGTCAGATTCATAATTTCTGCAATATAACTATAAAAAATTATAATAATTGACTTTGTATTCATCAAAAAGAAGGATTAACGTTAATATCAAAAATAAATAGAAACTTACGCTCGTAAAATGCAAGTCTTGCCGGTATATAAGAATTATCACGAACATGTTTGACTGCAGCATTTGATGACTGTTAGTTCCGAAATTGCTGCATGAAATGCTGATCCATGACTGGCAATTGTTGCAAGATGGTCAAAAATACATAGCTGCAAAAGCTTTGCAGCTTCAAAGCTGGTTGAAGCGTTCAAGAGGGAAGTCTTAATTGTATCATCAGCCAAGAAAGTAGAAGGTGTACATTTGATTGAACGCTGTAGAGCTTCTGGTCTGAGCGTCGAGTATTCTAGACGAGCTTTGTTACTCCTTTTCTACCACAGGTAGTGCAAAGCATTAGGGAGTTCGTGTAGGATAACTTATTATGTTTAATAATAATCAGTGAAGGGTGCAAGGCATTAGAAAACTATTTAATAATTTTAATAATTAGTTATTGTCGTAACCAAACTAGAAATTTTTCGCGTGAAGATTTTCTAAAATAACGTCGCAACTCTACTCTTATATCATTAACTCGCATTGTTTTTGAGATAAGTTGTATCAACTACTAAGTGGAAGGAAGTCGAATACTTAATAAGATGTTGGCAATAAACTTGTTCTAGTTCAACCACGCGGTATCTTGTTTTTTCATCATGTAAATACCTAATTTACCTAATATTTCACATCGCGAATATAATGTTTCATTTATATTAATTCCAATGATGATAATTTTAGCATCAAATGATAGATAATCTTGTTGCTACTTACCATTACATCTACATTTATCGTAAATTGTTTCCATTATTCATAACAAGTGAAATAATCGAAAATCTCATTTCATGGAACACGCTTTCGACGGAGATTGTACAATCAGGCGAGTGAAACAGTATCTTATCTTTTATCAATTTTGCTAAATCATTAATTGATTCTCTTCGCCGTCATCACCGATAGAAGGTGATAGAGGAATAGTGTATGTTACAAAATCACGGGACACAATTTCATTAAACTAATTATTGATTTAATCAATACTCTCGAGGTCAGAGTTTTTATGCAAGTACTTTATCACAACTTATAGAGAACAACATTTTAAGAGAAAATGAATATATTCTGTTATCATTGATACGATCGATCTCTTCCAAATCCCGAACAGAACGATAGCTTTTGTGCTTTAGATAAGAATCTTTACAAGATTTTTTTCAGGATCCCTGCTCTCAAGTCATCATACACGTGTCGAAATATTTTGAATATGTCCAGTGACCAAGTTCAACCACGTGTTTAGAGAATAAATACCTGGATGGGTTGCTTATCCGTAGAACATTTAACAATAACGATAATACTGATTGATGAAATTGTGCAAAATGACTTAAATATTCTGCGTCAATATAATTGTTTACATATAATATGATGCTTGATTTTCCGTTATATTACGTTTTTTAAATGTTATAAAATGCCAAAACAATCCGCTCCTTATATTTGCTGCTGAAAAAATTGCCATCGTGAATTATGCAAATCAAGCATCCTTACTGTCAATAAATCACAGGTTTCTCGATGGAAAAAAAAGTACGTATATACCATATACCAAAAAATCAAGCCAACGAATTGGAGGGAAGCTAAAAAAATTGTAGAATCTACGCAGTATAGGAGTGAGCATTCATTTTTTGGGGGGGGGGGGGACACTACTTTACTGATTATCAAGTTTATTAGAAATTTTACTAGATAAGATGCCTATCGCTATTTTCACAACTTTTTGTAATTGGTCAACTGATCTTTACAATTGGAATGGTCTTAGCACCCTAGCCATGGCAAAAAAAAGGTGTCGGGTGACCCGACACCTTTTTTTGCCATGGCTAGGGTACTACGAATTGTACGAATGATCTCATTGCAAGATACTCAATCTTGAATTTGGTATTCAGATTATCGAAACGTTCTCGATCTCGACAACGAACAGTTGGTCTTGGAAGGTCCAGAACTATCATGGAGTCAATTAGCAATATGTATTCCTAGATGTAAAGGTGATATCAAGTACACACAAAAGAGCAGATATATTATTGGACACTTATTTTCAGCAAGAAACTCCAAAAACCAGCTAAATTATATCTTGAATAACTTGAATTTGTGGCAAAAGGATTTAAAGTTCTTTATTATCTGAAAAATGACTTTGTAAAAGTGCTTGAATTCATAACACTATTGCTTAACTGTATTGATATTGAAAATATAAATCAAAAACATTGAGCTTTTTGAATAAATATCAATTATAATAGATATGGTACACTTCTTAGTAAAGAAGTTTATACATTTTATAAAATACAAATATTTGATAACTTTAGATTTTATGTATTATATAACATGTTTTTAATATATTTATATTTTTCAATATTTAATAATATCAAATTAGCACTTTATATAAAATCAATATAAAAATACAAGTTTTCTTATTAATTTTCAACAAATAAAATTATTTTTTTTGATTAATAAAAATGCTAGAGCAATTTAATTTTAAGTAAAATATAATTATGAATTAACTATAAAACTATATAAAATAATAATAATATGCTCAAGATGCAATAATATACTTTTTTAATATATAATATTAATTGAAACTATAAGTAAAAAAGATAATATTATTTCTAAAGATATTATAAATAACTAAAATAAACTCAAAAATCTTGTTTTAACAAAGATAAATATGTTTATAACTTTAAGAATAATTTATAAATAAGTAAAAATATTAATAATTTTTTTATTAATTTAAATAATTATAATTTTATAATTAAAATAAGAGATCAAAAAATAATTATAACTTTATAATTAAAATAAGAAATTATAAATAACTAAAATAATTTTGCAATTAAGATGTGAGATTATTAATTAAACAAAAATTATTTATTAGCTAACAAGTAATTAAAAAGATAAAAGAAATAATTAATTTCTTGATTACTTGATTATTTTACTCCTTTTTTTATAAAATTTCTACTTTCAATAAAAATACAAATTAAATTAAATTTTGAATTAAAATTCAAACTGAAATTCAAGTTGAAATTCAAATTAAAATTACTAAAATTCAAATTGAAATTCAAATAAAAATTCAAATAAAAATTTGAATTAAAATTCTAAAAATAATTTAATTAATTAAATATATAAAATATAAAAAATAATATAAAAAATATTAATTTACAACAATATTCTACTCAGTATTGTTATTCTATTATATTTAATAACTAAAAGTTACTAAAATGAATTATAAAATTATTAAATTTAGTAAGTTAATAATATAATATATATAATATTAATTTATATTCAATATAATCCAGATAACAATACTAATTATATTTTTGTCTATCATATACTATATAATATAGTCAAAAAAGCAATATAAAAAAATATAAATTTTTTATTATATTTATATACAAATATAAAAGCAAACTAAAGTAATTATAAGATATACAATGGCAACCAGAAATAATACAATAATGTCAAAATTTATTAATTAAACATAGTAAAATCCGGATTTTTCTCTTTATATAAAAGTTTTCAATTTTACTAATAAATATTTTTTAATTTTACATTAAAATGAAGACAATATCACATATTTTAACATATATTTTTTT